GTGCATACATACAGAGAGTCTCATCAACATGCGTTTTTGCATTTGCATAGATGCACTAAGCAACAAGGACGAAGATATAGAGATTTGATAAGAAATAAAAACAAACCGCAACTAGAACCGCGCTTCCTGGTGGCAGTTCCATTATCCGTTCCTGCTTTATAATTGTCATGCTTCATCGCAGGAAGCATTTCGGGCCCTAAAAGACGAGTTTGGTAAATTAACAGAAATTCTACGGACTCATAATTTTTATGGTTAAAAATGAATAAAAAAGAATTTTACCGTTCTGTTCAACTTGCAGCAATGCTGGTTCTTGTTGTTCTGAAACAGAATCTCGTAATTTATGCTTCTTTTTCTTTGGCTTCTCCTTCTGCGCCACCAATCCTTGGCCGATTGCTTCGTTTTCTTCAAAGCCTAGAAATGAAAAAGAACGCCATTACAGAAACTATTTTTAAAAATTTGTAAAATCTCCCATAATCAAAAGTCATCGAAAGGTAAAGGCACTCGAAAGCAACCCGAATAACGGCAGGTATCAAAAAAAAGCTATTTATAAGATTATAAATTCTTCCAATAACCAAAAATCAAATCAAAAGATAGAGGCACTCGGAAATAACCTGAATGACAACACATGCCAATAGCAACCACACGTTGGTAAAAGCGACGATAATACCCTCTTTCAAGTGCTACTTAGAAGCAAACTAATAGCAGATCTGGCTCCCCGACATAAAACGGTACCAATTTAACGCAGAAACGAATGAATTATCTATCCCACCGTCATGGTCAAGCCCTCAACCATCATTACGAATATCACTATCTACACTACGCCATACCCTCATGTCCGTAGAATTTTTCATACTATAACACGAAGTAAAATAGTAAAAGGCAGTACGGGCCTCAAAGGCCTCTGTGGGGGAAAGGAAGAGGGTAGTAACCAGGGCCAAGAACGACGGCCCATTCAGCGCAGGGAAACGATCGGCAAGGGTCGCACCAACCTCACTCCAACAATGAATTTTAAAGTATTTTCGGAAACTTCCCTAAGCTTCTAAAACCCAAGCATTAACCCATCTCATTTGGCGAAGCTCTCCTGCCAACACAATGTACAAGAAAAAAATCAACCATAAGTTTTAAAACAACAACGTAAACATAACTTCACAGCTGTGCTCCGTGTGTAGCCTTACTTGAAAGAACTGTGTTCGTTTCCACATCGTTATCCCATAAAAGTTTACCGAAAGTGCCAATTTTGGGAAAGTTTCCGTTGCAAGTGAGAAAAAAAGCTCAAAAAAAAAAAAAAAAATTATTCCTCTCGCAACAGTGTCCTACTTATGGAGAAGGCGAAGTGTCTGCTGTCACTTCACCAACTCCCTTCCCTTGTACTCAGACATGAAGTACACATAACATGGGTTGTCCTACGAATAAGAAAAAAGCGCTACCGGTTGCAAATAAATAGCAACGCGCACCAGACTAGCCGGTGCGATCATGCGTTTTGTGCAATTCAGCCCATCGACATAATAAATAGCAACGCACACCAGACTAGCCGGTGCGATCATGCGTTTTGTGCAATTCAGCCCATCGAACGATTGCTAACGCGCACCAGACTAGCCGGTGTGATCATGCGTTTTGTGCAATTCAGCCCATCGAACGATTGCCTCCACTACTTTGTACTTCTGTCTATGCAAAAATAGTTCAAACATTGAACTTAAAAATTTCACGCGCCAGCGTATGAAAGCTGAATTCGAAACATTGAAGGGTGAATATCTTCCCTTGATTCCCGAGCTAATAGTTTACCCGCCAAAATTTTCAGCAAGCAGTAGGCGATACTCAAGAGCGCGAGAAGACTGAATTTGAATTGGCAAGGTTGGGCGCGGGCAGAGGGTCATTACCCTAAAATTTCAGTCTCCTAGTCTCCTTGGTTCCCGAGATATTAATTTACCCGTAAATAACTTTCACGGGGTCGTACGTGTTATCCGCGGGTACGGGGAGGCTGAATTTAAATTTGCCGCGTTACCCATTGGCGGGGAAACTATACCAAAACTTCAGCCGCCTAGCTTTCGTGGTTCCCGATTTGAAGGTGAGGGATAAAATCGCATAAAAAAGTGACTCAAGAAATATCAAGACCAATCCAAACAGGAATTCAAGACTGAAATTTCATAGAGGAGGTTAAAGAAATCTAAAAAATAATATACATACGCATTGTGTCGGCCTTCTGCTTCTCGCTGAGACGTTGATGTTGAGCGGTACGAGCACGCATAAGTCTCACAACATTGATGGCCGCTTGCTTGCAACCCTTCTCATCGGAACAATCGCCGGCCGCTTTTGCTAGCTCCGTTTCCAGAGGATTATTCTTCAGATCAAGCCATCTCAGTGAAGAAAGCTCACCAAAAGACAGCGGAAGCTCCTGCAGCAAACATATAGTTGTATGATTTTCAGAATTATTACAGGGGCTATTCATACTTATTTGCACATGTTTTTTGATTAATCTTTGTGCAAAACAAAAAATACTTTTTTGGCTACCAAGAACTTCTGTAATTGTTTTCTTGGACCAAAACCCATTTTCCTCCTGCTGCTACGCCTCCATATTGTCGCTAGCTGAAATTTTAGGAGAATGTTCCCCGTCCAAGCAGGTGCTAGTGAGCTCAAATTCAGCCCCCGGGTAAGCGTGGTACCCGCGCACGAGCCACCCAAAATTTTTCCCGCATAAATTCATAACTCGGGGTTCTGAGATGCTAGAAAGCTGAAATTTTAGGGGAATGTTCCCCGTTCAACCATCTCAGTGAAGAAAGCTCAGCAAAAGACAGCGGAAGCTCCTGCAGCAAACACACAGTTGTACGATTTTCACGATTATTACAGGGGCTATTCATACTTATTTACTTATATATTTTGAAAAGCTTTTGTGCAAAATATGAAATAGTTTTTTGGCTACCAAGAACTTCTCTAACTGTTTCCTCTGGCCATAACTCATCTCCCTCCTGCTGCTACGACTCCCTACTGTAGCTATTAGTATTACTGATACTGCCGATTTCGCTGTTTCCTTCCTCTCCTCCTCCTCCCCCCCCCC